GTACAGAATATCATTTTTATTCGGTATTCCCTGCTCAGACAACATGTTAACATAACAATGTTTTTGGTACTACAGGAAATTAGGGACAATACAAATGATTTACGCCATGGGAGTAGTGTCATTTTTTATGGCTTTATTAATGAAGTAGCAATAAGTAAATAAATAATATAAAAAAAAAAATGCCAGTAATATATTGAGCATTCATTCACCTTCACACACAAGTCAACATCATGACAGCATTGATTAATTAACCTGATTCATGCATAAATCACTGTTTAATGAGCAAAAGTTAGGCTGACTGGTTAAAGATTTCTGTGTTAATGCATCACCAGCTGATGATGTTTACTGTGAAATGACTAATTTTCACTGGGTTAAAATTTCGCTGATTTACCATTTCAGGCATATTCAGTGGGGTTTAAATTCACCGTTTTATCATTTAGATAATGTGTTCTATGCTAAATTTTACATATTCACTGGGTTTTAATTTAGAACATTTTCCAGTCAGTGAAATAAGCAAAATTGAAACCCAGTGAATTATTAACCCGTTTACAGTATACAATGCATCATTTATATTAGCTATACATGGAGGCTTTCAGTTGGCAATAAGTTTAATCTTCCAAACATTGTGACTAATTTGCATATTTATTTTGTTTCAATAGATATATCAATAACTTTTGTTGTTATTGAAATTAAAAGTATGGCATTCCAGTAAGGTAAAACCAATACTTGGTTAAAAAATTAAAATACTGTATGTTTCATGCTGGTCTAAGAGTCTATGGGGTGGGGGTTCTTTTAATTTATGCAAAGACATACTCGTAACATGAACTCAATCATGATCAGTTATTGAAATTCACATTAATTTGTCCTTTGTGAAATTAACATTGTAGACAGAACATGTGGAATGAAACAACTCACTCGGTCAGTGACCTGCTTGGCCTTGATAAGTAATGATGTATACCTGCATTTACACTAACATTTACATCAAGTAATATGCACAACTATGTAGGTTGAAACTTTATGTGTTTTGCAGAATGGTGTCACATTGCTTCTTCTATTTTATAATGAATGACTTACAATTCCAGGTGTGGGTTTGTTCTATTCAATTAAGTTTTTCAGTGTTGTGGATAATGATAGGCAGTGTTCTCCCCAGGCCTCTGAAGCGACACGATACCATGACGCTTGGACACTCGGTCGTGATGCTTGCCCTTTGTCCGTGACGCTTGGTCACTCAGCCATGATGCTTATATTTTTGTTTACAAGTGTCAGTCTCGTCTTGCACGTATTTAAAACAATAACATGTATTGATCGATTTAGGTAATCCTGCCTTTGTTAGCCATACAAAGACAGTGATAAAAACGGAAGTCTGCAATATGTTGCGAAGTCTTTCAAAGGTGCAGAGCCTCCAAATCAAAAAAAAAATAACTAGAATAGCAATAATTTGCCCATTGCACGCAACGGCAACAATGTGACAAAACAAGTCACGGCGTACGTCGGGAAGATCAACCCCGATTTGCTGCACTCTGATTTGTTATCACTCAATCGCTGGTGACATTATTTACTCCAAAATTAAAAAAAGAACAAGTGAAATTAAGTCGCATTGGAAAGAAAAGTATGAATATTTCAACAGCAGACGAGACGGGATGAGACAAAACAAACTCTGACCTCTGGAAATACCCCATTCATAGGGTACCTTAGTACAGAATAACGCCGCCCTAAGGCGACATAATGCACG